AAAAAAAAAAATTACCTTTCAGTTATTTGCTTGAGATAAATACTTTTTAAACAAAATATTTTATAATCATACCCCACTAATTTTCATAGACAGTGATATTTTAATATGCATTTGACACATATTTTATAATGTATTAAGAATTTAGTATTTTGTGTCAATAATATTTTATATGGCCAAAAATAGGAATAACATTATTCGTGCACGTAAATGTTAAGCATTTAAAAAAATTATTTTTAGTGGCGAAGAATTATTAGATAAAATATTTTTTGCAAAAAAAATTTGAATAATCAATTCCGTAAATAAAAATAAAATACATATATTTTTATTTTCAATTAAGTAATTATATATGAAGTACCAGCACTGATTGCCTCTTTTATTACTGTCTCTATATTATTTTTTATATTTGATTAACATGAACATCATTTGTGCTTACTGTAATTAAATTTATTACAGATTGTATGATTTCAAATAAAAAAAAAAATTATCATACATCTGTAGATAAATTGCTGAAGGATTCAATGTTCAAGAAATTATCGAATATTTAAGATGAGGTTATATGAATAATAATTAGATTATTTAGTATGCATGCATTCCTACACAAACCTAAACGATACATCCATGTTGTCTAGCATAATAGGTTAGTTGTTCAAACCATTATTTAATTATAATAATGATAATTTATAATGTGTAATTAATATTTTTTGTATTTAAAGAAGTCTAGGATAGACAGTCGTATTTTTATAAAAGTTATTATTCAGCGATCAAATTAATAATTTGTGTTAATTAGGAAGAAATTTTTTTTTGAAATTTCTTAATTTTTACTTATTATTTTTTTTCTTGTAGCTCTGTGTGGACGGATCTCTCTAATTAATAAACATAACAATTTTATTTTGCGTTAGTAGTTAATACAAAATAAAATAATTATAATTGAACAATTTTTGAAAATACTGTAGTATATATTTTTATAGCATGTATAAAAAATAAGAATTTTATTTTTGTAATTAAGATTCTAAATTTATAAATATTCAAATAATATAAAATATTATTATTTGAATCAATCAAAATACAATGTCATTTTTTTATCATGAACGTTTATATATTCATTAAAAAATAAAAATAATATTAATGATTTTTTTTTCTTTTAGTTGCTTGTTTTTTTTTTTAATTCATTAATCATAATTAATAAATTAAAACAAAAAAATATTTGATGCATGAAGTCCGTATTTTATATCTTTTAAGGGTGTCATCTTTATTTTTCAAAGGAAAACATGCATAATTAACAAGCTTACAAAAATAAATAAATGATCTATTTAAGATCATTAATGACTCGTCAATAATAACTATTGTACCAATATTTGAAAAGTTATTAAAAATATTAATACCTTGGTGAGAGGAAAAGTAGAAATATCAAGTGATAAAAATAGTAGCAAACGCGCCTTACCTTTAGTCATAACTTGTTAACGATAATGAAGTCGTATTAATTAAATACTACTTATTTGTCACAATCATTATTGTGTAAATGCTACGTTGATAATATTGCCTTGAGAATTAAGTAGTAAAAGTGGAAAGTTACAGTTGAATAAAATTGTGTGTATATTTTGTTTATATCTTCAATTATGAATATAATTTTATTGTTCATACAAATTCGTCGTAATACTTGTGTACTGAAATTAAAATAGAATCCAGCGCAAACAAATATTTACTTTTACTGTTTACATCATCGTATTAGAATAACAATACTCTCAACTCTTTTGTAGTAAAACTTCTCTTGTCCATCATCAGTCACTATTGTTTCTTCGAGCTCAATTTTTTTCAGTCCAAGAAAAAATGAACAAAAAATATAACTTAACAAGTGATCCTTTATTAACTAAATTTGAAATAACAATCTAAATAATAAATACATTCAACGAATGAACTAGAGAATTAAATGATCTATTATTTGTTAATTAAAAAAGTAATAATTGCATTTATAAATGATCACAGCACACATTTAAAAGTATTTCTATTGATGTTAATTTTTTTTTCATTTAATAAAGATACTAAAAACAATAAATTAGTATTTATAATCTTTAAAATGCATTAACAATATATTTTTGTATTGTAATGTGAAACCAGTTAAGTAACTAAGTACTATCTATACTTAATAATTAATGGTAATTAGTAATAAATTATTACTAATAAGTTCGCCTTTCATAATTGTTTAGTAATGAATAAATAATCGCTGTACACTATTTGTTACGATTAATACTAATGACACCTAATATGATACTTTTCAAAAACTTGTTTAACAATATTTTCCTTGGATTTGTAATGTTTGAAATAAGTAATATTTTTTTGGTTATAATAACTTTTGGTTAAAATTAATACATAATTTTTAATTCAGGTTGTATTTAAAATTAAGTAAAAAATTCACATTTATTATTTTTCGATAAAAATATATTTTAATCTATAGTGGGTAATTTATTATGAAGACTTATGAAGATAAAATCAAAAGACATAATATTGAAACATATTTTTCGATTTAAGTAATATTTTTTTATTTTTTTATAAGAACTTTTAATTTTTATTAAACAAAATGTTTTTAATGTATTTGTATTTTAAATACATTTTTCATTGTTTATTAGAAACAGGTTCTTTATTATAAATAATCAAAATAAAATAATGAATTTAATCGATGAGAAACTTTTTAAAAATAATTTTAATCTTTATCTGTATTATTTATATAAAACATAAAATACTAGTTTTTAGAAACTACATAAGATCAAATGGTAAAATCTCTACGTACAATCTCGATTTATTTTAGTTATTTATTTATTTTTTTAACAAAACATGAAATTATAAAAGAGACAAATTCTAAAAATATTCAATAGTGAAAGTGAAGTTGATTTTCGAACACGAATTACTTCTAACATTTATTAGGATCTTAATAATTATTCAACACATAATGTGTTTGAATAATTTACTTTAATTGTTCAAAATATATTAACGATATAATGAGAATATCATGGATATGGAAAATATTAATGAAATAAGTAAAATGTTTTCTTGGCACTTTTTTTTTTTTTAATAGTTATATAAGAGAATTTTTGTATTCTTATTAAAACGGTTATAACTTATAAGGCGTTCTAAAAGGTTTTAATGATTTCAATATTAAAACAAATCTGCTAGGAATTTTAGAATTTTAAATTTATCTGTGACTGATGATCTTTAAAAAATCGCTGTCGTCATAGATCTAGTTATGGATATATAGGAGTATTAGTCTTTCCTAAAAATGATGAAAATTAAATGTATTTAATATTAACAAAGAAATATTTTTAAGGAGAGTAATTAAGTTAGATCTCCTAAATATTTTGTTCATATAGCGCCTATGGCAGTCATCACTTTAAACGGCTATTCATAAAAATTATTAATTTTATCATATATAATTTGTGTTAGACTTAATATTATATATTAAAGAACGTGTAGAAAAATAAAATTCAAGGGGTAAAATTAAAATAAACTTTATTTGTTATTGAAAACATTTTTGCTCTGTCTAAAAAAAACTTGACGATACTGTGTAGGTATATATATTTAAGGTAGCAGAAAATATGTTCTTTGAATCATTGTGTAAAAGATATTAAGAGTTAGTTAAATATCTGACATTGAGCTGTGTCTTACAATGTGTTTAGCCAAGTCATGAAAAATATGCAATATTTGGTAGTGTACCAATGTAATATTACGTTATAAATTTCATCCGCAATATTTTAGGCATAGATACACTTGTGACATGGTGTTCATGAACCGTAATAGAAGTAACATAACCATATACGTGTTTGACGAGTTGAACGGAAAAGTGCGGAAAATAATAATATATGTACCAGTGATTTAATTAATATCCGTGATATAACGGTACATACTCACTGCTAGTTGGTACAACGTCGAATGTAATAATATTATTACAGTTCCATTGTTATTATTTTTATACACTATATCAAATAGATGTAGGATAATACTGTGGCCCATGGGTACCTACACTCGGTAGCTATTGTGTGGTATTGCAACAGTGTGGGAGTGGGGTGGGTGTGAAAATAGAGGGGAACAAGCGTGGTAGTCGTCATTGTTGCCGATTGATACAAAATTGTACACAAGTCCAACTGTTTGGCGGCGGGGACACGATCTAGATTAGAAAAATCGCCGGTAGCTATTAGATGTGTTTGGCGTTTTCCACTGTATAGTTTTTCGTCGTTTTTTCGATTATGTGTAACATTATGTCACTTATCTGTGTAAAGCGGAAAAAACGATAATAGTTATCGTTTAATAATCTAAATGATCATTAGCAATAGTTTAATTTTGAAAGAGATAGTAATTATCGTGTTTATTGTTTACTATTCGAATTCGTTGCCTTGATAACACGATTATAATAACATTTTCCTGTTATCGATTTTTTGTCTTATCGTCTTATTTTGATTTGCTATACAAATAGACTTGTAAATGGCCAGTATCAGTTAGCGTTAAGTGTTGTCGTTTCGAGCACTTAGCTGCCGTGTGATTTCGCGATCATTCCTTTGAACTAGTTATTATTGTTTTGTTTTTGTTTATAATAAATATAAGTTAAAATTGTAATAATATGGATACGTGCGTAGACCCAAAAGTACCTCCGTGGAAGATCGAGCTGATCAACAGAAGACGAATGAGAAATAATCAATCTAAATGCACCAGCGGAGGCATCTACGGTAATAGTGAACAGGTAAAACCAGTTCAATGGACTTGGTCCCCTACCACTCAACACTTTCTCCAGCCCCAACAGACCAACGCGGTACAGACATCCCAGCAGCAGCAATCGGTAGTTGGTGCTGCGTGTTCAGACATGAGGCTGTTAAAGTGCGATAACGTGATAATGACTAATTTCAAAAAAAATCCACAGATTAATCGATGTCGTTTGAAATTTAAAACGAAACCGCAAATTATAACAGAAATAACCAATGGATTAGATTATAATTCTGACTCTAGTGAAGAGTTTAAGTATGGTCCAGGTATTGTAAATAAATTGAAATCAAAATATATGAGTATGACAATCCGTGAACAAAAGCCAAGACCTCCTTTATGGCGTTCAAATAGTATGGACAACATTGTTGAAGATAAAAATTGTTCAGAAAAAGCAAAACATAGTTTACCACCTGATGTTATCAATGTTTCTGTCAATGTAAAAAGTGAGACTTTAAAACGGGCAAGATCTATGGAAATACTGTCTGAATCCCAATCAATTATGGGCAATATTGATGAACAGCAAATTCCAAAGTCTGTTAATGGTGATTTACCACCACCAGATGTAGTCAAAACATACAAAAAAATATTTGAAAATAAAACACAAAATGAATTGAAACCCATAAAAATTAAACCAGCCATTCTTCCTAAACCAGCATTGAGTCCAGAAAAATCTCGTACTACTAGAATGAATAAAGTACCATTAAAAAAAATGATACAGTCTATTAAATATCCTAACAGGTAAAATATTATTTTATTAAATTTTTGATATCAAGTGATTTATTTTAATGTTACAAATGGTTTTAATAACTTTTTGGAATCTTATGCTGGTAAATCATTTTATGAGAGTTATTACTAATAGATAAGTTTTTTTTTAAAGATTTCTTGGTGTATTTTATAGATTTTATTATTAGAGTTAAATAATTGATGTAAGAAATAAGGTGTAATGTGATTAATAATAAATGATATTATATATCAAAAGTAATTTTTGAGGGTATAATTATGATTTTAAAAAGAAATTTTGAAAAAATTTGTATATATATATATTACTTATAATGCTATATTATAAGCACTTAATATTTTTATGTTCTATCTTAAAAGTAATTTTGTATTTGGGATTAACAATAGTAGTTTATAGGATTAAATTTTTAATCATTTAGTAAAAAATTTAATAATAATTTCAGATTGAAGAAAAAAGAACCATTAGGTCTAGATAGATCTAAAGCCCTTATAAATGATGAAGTCAGTTCAAGTCAGGATGAATCATCTATGTCGTCTGATGACGGTGGTTCAGTAAAGCATAGAGTTGTCATCAAGACAACCTTAAGTGGATCTAATAACGATAACAAATTAGTTGCTGTACAAGCTAAACAAATATGTGTTATCAGACCAACAACAAGAAGTGTTATTTTATCAGAAGAAACTGCTAATACTCAGTTATCAGACAAAGAAATTGAAAAAAACTTTCTTAATAATAATACTATTAATAAATCCAATGGAATAAAAAGAATTGGTGGGTTGTGGGATAAAAAAAGATGGGACAACAATGAAAATAGTGTTGTTTTCAATTTTGTTGATCGTAAAGGTGTACCAAATTACATTGACAATGAAGTACCAATATTTAGAAGAGACAATTCTTGTGTAAGTTCTTTTTATAGATAAAATTATTGAACTAATTGTAAATTATTGAAATTCTTATTTATTATTCTTTAACTTAGAGAGTTAAAAATGGATGTATTATGTTGGATTCTCATTGTGAAGAATCAAGTACTGATGATATTGATAATGGATCCAATGATAAATATGTTATTTTTATTGGTGATAATATAATCATTGGACGTTCAAATCTTCGAAAAGAAAAATGCTCTTCTCCTCGAAAAGTAAGACATTCTATTAAAATTTTTACTGTAATTTTAATCCTTAAATAATATTCCTTTTTTAAGTTTAAAATTTTTTTTTTTACTTTTTGATTAAAAATTTCTAGTAGATAATTTTTAGTCAGTATAATTTATATAAACATAGATCATTACTAATAATTATGCTATTGCTTGAAAGTTTTTGAGTTTTACAATATTTAAGAATTAATTTAAAGTATTTTTAAAATATAATTGAAATTTAATTTTTAACTAAATTATAACCAGCATAGATTATAACAAGCATATACAATTCAAATTTGGGTATTAAGTGTTTTCAATTGTAATTTGTTTTATTAAATATTGATGTATTTACATTGTGTCTCATTTAGTGAGACTATTACATACTTTACATTTTAATATTTTAATTTTTACTTCATTTTATTTTGAAATTACTTTTTACATTTTTTTAATTTCTTATATAACTTATTTTTTGCCTATAATAATTTAAAATGTGTCAGTAACTTATTAATGTTACAAAATTTACTTGACTAAAGTTAATTTTTACTATTAAAACTTTATAATAAAAGAGTTTTGACTAATTAAAATTTAATAAAATAAAAAAAAAGAGTTTTCTATGTGATTTTTTATTAATCACTAAATTTATGAACAGTGTATTTGTTTTAAAAAATAATTATTCATGTGGTGTAACTCATTCATTTAAATAAAATAATAGTCTTATAAAAAAGTAAATTTCATTATCTACTACTAGTATATCCACGTGTGTTATTCCTTAAGAGAGAAATTCGTATGAAATAAATTTAGCTTGCATAATATTTTTCTTGTTAACGGTTCAGGTAGATTCTTGTTGTATGTAACAAAAGTAATTACAAATGTGATACCATGAACTATAATTATTTGTTAGTTTTGTTCGAGTTTCGCATGAAAATCGAAAATAAAATAATATATAATTAGTAATTATTAATAACTAAATGTTCATGTCGAGAGTGAATAGATGAAAATGATATCAGACAAAATGTTATAACTATCACATTAATTTATGCCAATAAATTAAGAATAGCTGTATAATAACGTAGTTATGTTGTATATTGTGAAAATCTTTCCATATTTCTACTTAACATATTTTTATGAAGCGCGTCGTACTCTTAGTAATTAAATGTAATTTATTTTATCATTTCGCATTACTTAAAATTGAAATCGCTGGAAAATTGTTAGATTTTCGCTAAAAAATAATATTATCTTTACTTTTGATGCCGATGAGTTGTTATCGCAAATATATTTCTAGATTTATATTTTATTATAATAAAAAATATAAATTCATTAATAAATACATTATTTTTTAACTTTAATTTTTTGAATTATTCAGATCCCTTCAACTATGAAAGGTTTGAAGTCAATTGTATAATGTTTATTTTATCTTCTATTGTACGAACGTAAATTCTAAATCGATTCTGTTCTATTTTTTTGTTTAGCCATTTTCAGTATTTGTATTAACTAGAATAAAAGATAAATCAAACAAGTTTTTCTATTATTATTATTATTCTCAGACATTCATCATAGGTCAATGAGCCGGTTCTTCATGGAAACGGCTTAAGGCATTATTATTTTATTTTACGATGTGTTGTGTACATTCTTTTCATAGAATGACACCTGAATGCTCACTTCTAGCTACTGGACAATAAGGCGATGACGACTTTGTCGACGCCAATACATTAGTTTCCACTGTTTTAAACAGTTTTTCTTTGTGCATTGCAGTCTCCGTTAATTCATTTCAGTGCGCTCGCGTATCAAGAATGTCTCAAAATGCTGGCATTGTTTTAAGCGTTACCATATTTTACTGTAATGTGTAGAGTCATTGACTATAACATACTCGTACGGGTTTTTGTCCAGACAAGGCCAATGCCCATAGTATATGTTGCATACGAATGTAATTTCTATAAGGAAAAAATCATAGTTCTTAGCTGTATCTGATAATTTTATTATGAATCGTTTTTCGTTGAATTTTAAATAAACTGTTATTGCAGAAGTACTGGTCTATTAACACCAATTGAATTGGTTTATGGAAAGTTGATTTTGATTTCCTCGTAATAAACGATGTTTCATCTACTACAGTGGCAGTGCATTATCCTAATAAAACGATCTTGACCGCGTTTAATATAAGTTGATCTAGTTTTCTGTACCTTTAATGTCCAAACAAAATAATGCATTTATTAGGTTAAGTGTAATAAATGTAGAAAAATCAATTACAAAGTCAGTATTGCTCACACAGACCTAGTGAACTTGATTCGTGTTTATTTTTTCCAATATGATTATTACTAAATTATTAATTGATTAACAATTTGTGAAGAAATAAATTTAAAATTTGCCAAAGTAATACAAATTTTTATAGCTTATCTATTGTAGTTCTGTATACTAGACGGTAAATTTATCAAAAAATTTGGTGTGCTAAAATTGTTATTTTTTCCCCGCTCTTATTTTTATTTTTTATATAAAAATGTATATTTTTTTAATTGGAGGGAGTAAGCATCCTAAGCAAACTTTTGGAATTTTTAACTGAAAATAAAAAGCTGTTTTAAATTAGTACTATTACAATTGTACATTTGTACTATAGTTAATAAGTTGCAATGATGAATAAAAAAATAACAAATATTATTGCGTTATTATTTTCTTGGTAGTTTATTATTAAATTGACAATAGCAAGATAAAATATATAGCGTCTCATATTGAAGGTCATATAACTTTACTTTTGCATTAGGTCAATTTGCTGCTTCCATGGCTCTGCCATTATGTCTAACGGTATATATGTTCGGCTTATGTTGACGTTAAGCTTACCAGAGACCACTTACTTATCTTTTTTCTTATTATTTATGTTAAATAATATTACAATTTAACCGATTTTTTCAGAATTTAAGAATACAGTTTTCTGACGTTCTGGAAACAACGCATGAGTATCCTTCAGAAGCTTCCTTACTGCTCGAAGAAAAACATGATCTACCGTCACCTGAAACGGAACATAAAAGAAACCTTACCGCCGTTCATCAAAAAAGTAAAGTTTATTTGTCCAACTGTAGTGATATCCCAAAGATATTTGCATTTTTTTGACATGTTTATGGGAACCACGAGTATTTTAATGTACAATGATTTTTTTTGCATTCGATTTGGTCCGGAACGGTAACGGAAATAATAAAATAATGATTTTATATTTTTTGGTTTATGTGCACTTGACTCTACGCAAACTGCATCAAGTAGGTCATGTGTCTATACTTTCACTAATCACGGTCAAGGTTCAATATAATATTGAAATTTTACATCCTAAAAAAACATCCTGTTGATTTAAAGTATAGGGGAATGGCAGTTCATGTGTGTGTCCTCGTTAAATGACCGAGGAAATTTATCAGGCATTGCGACGTTGTTAAGATTTATGGACTCTTAACAATTTAAATGATTCTAAATATATTAATGAAATATTCTTATTTTATACATTCGACAAGCTGTAGTGTAATGGGAAAATTTACTGAGAATCGTATGACCTATAGGCGGATAATTAATTGGTAACTGATACATTCTGCGGTATATATTTATGACGGAGTAATTATTAAAAAATCGTAAATAAAAGGGATTTTGAGAGGGATTGTTTAAAAAAAGATTTTCTTTAGAACTTTTAATTTAAAAAAATCTATTGATCAATTTGAAATCAATATCAAAATGTTATCGGTTATTTAACTAAAAAAGTATTGTATGTTCAACTGATAATATTCGATATATCGTTAAAACTGTTTTTGCTTTCAATTTAGAAGAAATCGGTTCTTGCAAAAGTTTTTATAAAATTTTATAATGTATAATCACTGTTCTTTTTATGAAGAAAATGGACAATGTCGTTATTTTATAACATTATATATTTATTTAAAATTCATCTTATATTTCCGATTTTCATTTTCCCATCGAATTTTAAAGCTAGATTTAAAAAATTAGATTTTATAATAACGTTTTTTTATAAATTAGACTATTCTCGATATATCTTTCTTTCGTATTACATGTGTTTAATGAATGATTTTTTTTATTGTTTAGACAGTTTTGGTAACTACACTCCGAGTAAACTAGGAACCACCGAAGAAGCATTTCTCGGTGAATATGGAGTAAGTAGAAGCAATGTGATAAAAAATGTTAAACGTACAGATAAGAATGACGAATCCATGACTGACAACTCGGTGGTTGATACAAATGTGCCTTGGAGCGAAGAAACAACACCTGATCTCTTATTTTGAGTTCCTAATATTTATTAACATTATATTTATGAGCTCAATAGTGTTAATATAGTTTTACTTAAATTAATGTATTTTTATAATATTAATATATTATACATATTTTTCTAAGTTGTAGTAAAAAGAATGTATGCTCTTCTATTTTTCTTATTATAATAATTTTTTTTATATTTATTGAAATTAAATAATTTATGAAAAATAGTAGCTCGTATATCATAAAATAAGACTCACAATGATTTCATCGACTGAATTACTCATTCTTCTATACATTTATATATTTTTACAAATCCTAAACATACACGTAAAATTTTTTACTATTATAATTATATTTTCATTGATGAAATGCTATCGTTACTATTATGAACTAAATATTAATTATTTATTTGTATAGCTTATTATCACTATTTTTTATGTTTCAAAATGTATAGTATTTTGATGTACATAAATGTTGTAATTTTGCGTCAATATAGTTTTTTTTTTTTTAAATAAGTTCATACAAATTTAATTTAAAACTTGCTCAAATTATAATTTAATTAATAAAAACTTATAAATTTGAATACGATGAAATTTTTGAAAAGAAGATTTTGAAGTTCTATTCAGCAAAAATAAAAAAAGAGAATATTTAGATAACTTATTAGTTATATAAATATGTCTCTCTATTTTTGTAAGTGAATTTAATTATAATACCTTGACTGAAAGAATAAAATTTATTTTATTATTTTATTATTTTATTGTGACCTCAATACGTCAATTGTTGTTAAGTACTAACACAAGCTAATTGAATGACACTTTATTTTTTTTTCTTAAAAGGTTATATTTACCTTACTACTAAGATGAAACAATTTAAGATAGTCAATATAATCTATGAGTACTATTCAATTTAGGTGTTTTTATATACAGTATTTTATATATTTTAAAACTTATAATTTTATTAAGTTTCGTGTTGATAATTATTGTATGGTAGGTAAATGAAATTATTACTAAACTTACCTAGATGGGTCTGTAAAACTCACTGACTTTAACTTAGCAAAATCCTAAAGTTTTTGTGAATAATTAATCTGTACACATTAAAATTTGCAATTGTGTTGTAAAACACAAAATAAGCCTTGCATTTATTAAAAAAAAATTTTTTTGAACATTTTAATTTATTTAGGAACACTTATAATACATAGTACTAGATATAAAAAAAATTATTTTCCCCAAGTACCACAAAGAAATCTCACATTAATGTTGTGATAATCCTTTAAATTATATTTAGAGATGTAATAAATTTTGTGTCATTTTTAATTAATACATTGAAAATATTTTTAGTTTTTATTTAAAAAATATTTACTATCATAAAAAAAATTAACAACTTGATAAAAACAAAAAATGCTAAAAAATTTGTATTTTTAGATGGATTTTATTAAAAAAAAAAGTGTCATTAAAAATAATTTTCAATATAAAATATTTGAAGAAATGTTTTCAATTCTCTTCCTAGAAAAAAATTCTGATTTTGCGACATCTCTTTTTTATGATGTATATGCGTATGAAAATTATATAGGGTGTTCAGTAAAGAAATGGTTTTCTATTGTTCAAATATATATTTGAACTATTTTATATTAATATTAACTATTTTATTAAATTGACCTGTTTCCTTACTTACTGAACACTCTATATATTGTTTATAATTTTCTTTATCAATTTAAAAGTATTATGATAAATTTTATTGAAAATTATTTATTTATTATTAACAAAATAATTTTAGAAAAAAATATTTCTTGATAATTTGTATATTAAGTGTAAATGGATTGATTTAGTTGTAAGTAAATAAAGCGGCTTTATGAAATAATGGCTCCGTTAAAATGTTTGTTAAAATCTGAAACGACCTAATTGGCTTTATATTTGTATGGTTAATTATTATACTCAACAAAATGAAAATTATCAAATAGTGAAGTACTCGAGGGGCGGATCCAAAATTATTTCATAAGAGGCGCTAAAATAATTTTAGACGTTAAAATTAATTTTTTGCGAATTTTATCTTTCAAAATTCTTTATTTTTTAGAAGATGACAACAGTTCGAGAAGGGGGTGGCGCCCTCTGCGTACTCTACTTGATCCAACTTTAAAATACGCGTACGAAGTTTTGCGGGTCAGTAGTTTAGGAGACCATTTCTCTCAAAAGTAACTTTTTATAGATAAATAAGGGTTTTTACAAAAGATTGTCTGCTATATATTATTTTGTCTGACATATTTAAACCCATAAAATGTGCTTACAAGTATATGAAACTTTAAGTTATTTTTAGCGGAAATATAAAAACTTTATTTATTTACTCAAATTTAAATACAAAATGTACGGTTTTATTTTTTGATTTCTAATAATATTATAAAAAGGTTATGGAGGTTGTTATAGTGTTGCGAAAGTAATTAAGTATTTTAAATTAAATTATTCTTTTAAATTAAAAATTGTTACATTTTAAATTATAATTAGTTTATTTGTAATTTATAAGAAATACACGGAATTAGGAATACTTTGAGTACTCTACAAAGGTAACATTATATTATAACGTTTTATGCAAGTCAATAGGTCGTCACAAGTGGTCATCAGCTTCTAGAATTTTCGTGTCAAAACCAGTTCCGATCGTCACTGAAATGGCGGCGTGTTTGTATTCTCATTTTCCAATAACCAGTCTTAGGCAACGTACATTTTTGATGAGCATTTCGGTAGAGTCCGTTCAGCACTACTAAAAGCCGTGAAGACGTACGCGCCATTAGCACTTTTTAATAGTATGTCTTTAATCTAAGTTAAGAGGATTACAGTGTTAATCCATACTACGAATTGTTACGTGCTCAAGGAAGAACAACGTATGTAATTGTAATAAATTGTTATCGTTTAATTACCAGAGGCCCTGATTTTGTCACGTCGAGTAATATTTCCATTATCACGTGGATATTAATGATCTAATTTTGATACTTCAGACGACTGTTTTATGATGAGGATTATGCCGAATCGCTTGGGAAATGCCTATATAGAAGGCATATATCATAAATTTTCTATAATTTACTAATATAATATTAATGTTAATTCCTATAATAATTATGACATGTAGTCTAAGTAGAGATGCCCAACAGAAGATTTAAATTCTTAGATTAAATCTGAACTAAATTATACATCATTTTTGTTTTGTAATAAAAACTGTTTTTGTTTATCAAGCTAGTTATAAGTTATTTTCCTGTTCTATTTTTTTTCTTAGTCGCCCGGCCAACATCTTGCCAGGAGTTTGGTGGCAACAGTAACATTTTTTTGTCTTCCTCAAATGTGTAAGAAGACAATATTTTTGTTAATGTTTCCTTGATAAATAGTGTTAGGATACTTTTAAATTGTAATTAAATAATGTATTTAGAAAATTATGAATATTCATGCTCATAAGGTTTTCTTTCAGTATTCATTCCAAAAATCTTAAAATGAAAAGGTTCTGCTGATACGGATTTTTAAATTTTCCTGAAGAACGCCTTTAAGTTAAAAGTGATTATTTTACTAACTTTTAAAATTTTTATTATTTTGATCGAGTAAAAGCTTAAAAAACCATAGAAATGCAAAAAAAAAAGTAATATGAAGCTATAAAAATGTACAAAATTTAAAAAGCCACAGAATGCATAAATTTAACTGAGCAAATATTTAAAAATTGAATAAATAAAGATATGTATTAATATATTATGTATATTGAATACATAGGTGAGAAGTTAATATGAATATTTGAAAGGAGGGTTAGAAATAAACTTCAGTTGTTTAATTATTTAACGATGTTTTCCTATTTTCGCTTGAAATGTGGAGTTTGTCTGGTTATGTCTTCCATTTATAAAGTGATGAGCAAAAAAAAATAATCAACTAATTTTTAACAATAAATTAAAGTATGAGATAAATTAAAGTGGACTACATATTAGTCTACAACTATTCGTTGTTGAATGTGTATAGTTTTTTCGAATAAGTAGAATGTGGTAAAAATATTAAGCATTTTTTAATAATATTTGATTTGATCATAATTTGTCTAGCTGAATAAAAAAATNTAATTATGAGATAAATTAAAGTGGACTACATATTAGTCTACAACTATTCGTTGTTGAATGTGTATAGTTTTTTCAAATAAGTAGAATGTGGTAAAAATATTAAGCATTTTTTAATAATATTTGATTTGATCATAATTTGTCTAGCTGAATAAAAAAATGAGAGTGAGCGAGAAAAAGTGAGAGAAGGAACAGTTGAAACACTTAACGCGTGGAACACTTGTGGCGCTGCAAAGTTTCAACGTCGCGGAAGCAGCAATCACACCAAACTGTTATAATCACCGGGATTTCTAGAAATCCGTTAATGGTACACAAAATATGCTGTAAAGATTCATTAAAACTTCTTAATGAGTTCTTAAATCTTTTAATAAAAAGACGGCTTAACCGAGTGGTTTTGAGAAACGTTGTAGCAATCGTATTATTTTGGCGAACGACGGGTGTATGAAATTGTTTTAACCATTACAATGATGTAGTTTATTTAAATTATGACTCTTCAGCATTGGACTTTGTTATTTCTTAAAATGATTTCGATGAAATAAATTTATAGTAATTTCCAGCTGAGTTTGGATCTGAATGGTATTATTGTTGGCTATTTAAACCAATTGATATAAAGTAATTCAACATTTACCGTATTTGAAATAATAGCTTGGTGTATTGATAATACACGGACAAATGCTTTTATCTGGTTCAGAAAAAGTCTATCACAGAACTCCATTGTATCTTGATTGTATATAGTAATGTTAGACAAGCTCAGTTGACCAATAATCCTCCGAATTTATTCGTATTATAAGATTATAGATTTAGATATATATTTCCAATTCTTTTTCTAATTTTATTAAAAAACCTACCGCCTTGTGTCTATATCATTCGTTAGGAGAGTTTCAGTTATATGAATTAACCTAATTCGAGTTGAACTCTTGTAAAACATAATTCAAGTTAAGCATTAAATGTTCATTTTTAAATATTTTTGTCAAGATTGTTTAAATTTGAATTTTTAGTCAATGTAATAATTTGATATATGTAAAAATGTTTGGATGCAGTAAGATTATACAATAATAATTGTTTAGTTTGATTTGCATTGTAATTTCATTGATCTTTTCAATTATTTTTTTTTTAATTTAAAAGAAATTTTTTTGTTGTGAGATAATTTAAATAGGATGTATTATGATATAATTTAAGTTTATTATTTTACTGTATATTTCACTTATTAAAAAAAGAAAAATTTTAAATATGCATAAAAACAATGTGTTTAACACGTATGACATAACGTAATAACATTTCAGAGGGCGGCTGTTACAAAATTTATAACACAAGTGCTGTTTTTATCTGTAT